CAATCAACTACTCAATAATTTTAATCAACTACTCAGTGAATTTCAATAAACTTGTCAATGAATTTCAATCAACTACTCAGTGAATTTCAACCAACTACTCAGTGAATTTCAACCAACTACTCAATTAATTTCAATCAACTACTCAATTAATTTCAATCAACTACTCAATTAATTTCAATCAACTACTCAATTAATTTCAATCAACTACTCAGTGAATTTCAATAAACTTGTCAATGAATTTCAATCAACTACTCAGTGAATTTCAACCAACTACTCAATTAATTTCAATCAACTACTCAATTAATTTCAATCAACTACTCAATTAATTTTAATCAACTACTCAGTGAATTTCAATAAACTTCTCAATGAATTTCAATCAACTACTCAGTGAATTTCAACCAACTACTCAGTGAATTTCAACCAACTACTCAATTAATTTCAATCAACTACTCAATTAATTTCAATCAACTACTCAGTGAATTTCAATAAACTTGTCAATGAATTTCAATCAACTACTCAGTGAATTTCAACCAACTACTCAATTAATTTCAATCAACTACTCAATTAATTTCAATCAACTACTCAATTAATTTCAATCACTACTCAGTGAATTTCAATCAACTAGTTTACTACTCAATGTATTTCAATCAACTACTCAGTAAATTTCAATCAACTAATCAATTAATTTTAATCAACTACTCAATTAATTTCAATCAACTACTCAGTGAATTTCAATCAACTACTCAATGAATTTCAATCAACTACTCAATGAATTTCAATCAACTACTCAATTAATTTCAATCAACTACTCAGTGAATTTCAATCAACTACTCAATGAATTTCAATCAACTACTCAATGAATTTCAATCAACTACTCAGTGAATTTCAATCAACTACTCAATGAATTTCAATCAACTACTCAATGAATTTCAATCAACTACTCCAGTGCATAACAATGGTGTGGAATTAAATGTAAATGATATCTGCTATTCATTCTATGTGCATACAGTGAGAATATTGTACTAACATTTATTATCTGTTGACAGTGTTTTATAGCAAAAGATGTCATCGATTTGCTTGTGAAGGAAAGAGAAGTGAAGTCAAGACAACAAGCACTATTGTTATGCAATGAATTATTAGAACATGGTTTAATTAGATGTGGTAAGGATTTTGGAATAAATCAAAGGCAAATAATGGTGAAGGGTCTCTTGCTTGGGTGATGTGATATGCAGATCACATTTAAGCTTGCACAATCTTATTTACATGTGATGTCAATAAGAAGCTTAATATATGCATGAACATATTGGATGGTTTCCATAACATGACATTAGGCCATACCTTTCAATAAAATAATGATCGACAGAAGCATTTTCCCAGCATTTGAAAATAAACCTGCAGAGAAAAAATTCATGGAATTGTTACAGAATGAAAACATTATTATTCCAGTAGCACAGTTCATAAGTAAAAGCTTTGAAGTCAGGAAGCAGGGTCTTACTTGACATCTTAATGCCTGCTGTCAATTTTGTAATTTTATATTAGATTGTATTTTAGAGATTTTGTATTTTTTAGTAATTTAGTGATTGTATTTGTTATTTAGTATATTGTGTTTTTTTTGTTGTTTTTTTATATATATATTTCTCCTTGTACTTTGTGACCATTTTCTTTCCCTCCGGGGATTGTGTAAGAGTCAATAAGTAAATAAAAGATAAGAAAACCAAAATGTATATATCATGCAGAACCCCTAAGATCCAGCGTAAGCAACCCCTAAGATTCAGTGTAAGCAACCCCTAAGATTCAGCGTAAACAACCCCTAAGATTCAGTGTAAGCAACCCCTAAGATTCAGTGTAAGCAACCCCTAAGATTCAGCGTAAACAACCCCTAAGATTCAGTGTAAGCAACCCCTAAGATTCAGTGTAAGCAACCCCTAAGATTTGGTGTAAGCAACCCCTAAGATTCAGTGTAAGCAACCCCTAAGATTCAGTGTAAGCAACCCCTAAGATTCAGTGTAAGCAACCCCTAAGATTCAGTGTAAGCAACCCCTAAGATTCAGTGTAAGCAACCCCTAAGATTTGGCTTAAGAACCCATAAGATCTAGCAGACTTGTTAAGTTTGATACCTGAAATTTGAAATTGTGACAACATTCTGTATAAATAGCCCATGTGATGACTTATAGCAATACTTATTTTATAATTGAGGTGGTTATTTTTTTTTATTTTCATGGAAAAATATTTTTTTTCGAAAATTCAGAGCTAAAACAAGATGTAATCAGTGTATAGTGTGCCCAAATTGTGCAACATTGGCCAGAATCAGTTGTGTTCACATATTCAATTGTTCAGTTTCATACTCCAATGTTTCAAACTTTTATCACAGTGAGGATAAACGATGACTTGTAGAATAAACTGTGTTTTTCTAGTCCATAAGTCAAGCCTGTTCAGAGACATCCCATCTCAAACTAATAATTCAGCTGTTAGGTGACACAATACACTTTTAATTGAGAAAAATATTTTCTTTCCACAGTAACTGGTGAAGACCATTCAAAGATGAC